CTCCAGCCACACTGAGGACAGGACAGCTCTTTCAGCCTGAGGTAGAGGGAAGAGCTAGTGGCTAGCTACTTTGCTTTTCTGATCTTCAGCTTGAAGCTTGAACCCCAATATCAGTCTCTGGGTCTTTTAGTTTTCATGTTACATATGAGGCTAGACAATCTTAGCTAATTGATTTGAACTTGTCCTGAGCAGTTTGTAGTTCAAAGCTGATCACTGGGTGGTGTTTGTCAGCAGATTTATTGTTTCAGGGCCCCATCATCATCTTAGAGACCTCAAAGGCCACTTCCAGGAATGGTCACAGGTCACTGCAGAAAATGTAAACATCTCAAATGCCATATGCAGAAGTCTGATAGATCCAAAGAGTGATAGAGGGACAATCAGCTGACCACACCTCTCCACACTTCCAAATTAAAAAGCTCACATATCTTTCTAATCCCCTCTCTACTTCCTGTGCCCGCCTATCCCAGTCCTCCAAAATCTGGACAGCTGAATGTTGACTCTGTCCTGATTCAAGGTTTAACTTTATTGGCAGTCTTGGAGTGTCAGTGTAAATAAAACTCATCAAGTCACCCACCCTCTAGGCAACAACCTGTTCCTATATCAATTGCTGTCTTCTCTCAAACCAATCACAGCTTTCACATCTCCAGTTCTGCTGTCCTTACGGACATTCCTCCATCTTTCCTGCTTTTCTGTCACATATTTGTTCATCATAGTGACACTGGGAGCTGTGGTGTGTCACACGGTATACCCTTTTGCCCAAACAGCTTTACTTGTAAATGAATGTTCATTGTAATGAGTCGTTGGTTTGGTTCAAGGCCTCTGGCTTCTTGTATATCAATATTGGATCCTCACCAAGATTCCTCTCAGATACACTGACATTGACCCAAGTTATGGAAATTCTGTTAGCTATGATTCCCCAGGACGGGTCCCTTCACAGGATTCAACAGCTCATAGATGGGGTAAGTGTTGGGGTGGACCAACTCAAGGCCCTGAATCTGAGCCTTGATAGTAGCTAAGTCGGTTAGTCTGGATCTCCACCTGCTCCCCACCCCCATCCACTGCCTACACTGCTGCACAATGACCAGTGAGGGGAGCGGCAGCTTTCCCAAGTGTTGTGGTTGGTGAGGGTAGGGGCTAGCTCAGCAAGGCACTGAACATCAACATGGATTCAGATGGCAGCCTAGACCATGGACTTCCACATGGCCTTTGGTGGTAACAGTCCCCAACTGAAGTACAGCCACAGACCCAGATCACGATGTGTTTCCACTGTGTCTTTTTCTCTCCCATCTCTCCACTTCTCTTTCTCATCTCCATCACATTTTGTTCTTGTAGTGGCACCAGTCACAGGGTGGGTGGGTGGGCACTTCTGGCCACCCCAGGCTGCCTTCAATGCTCTTTTTTAAGTTACATTTTTTGTGTTTGTAAGCAGGTATGCATGTGGGTGTATGGAGGTTCTTCCCACCATGTGGGTTCCAGGAAACAAGCTCAGGTTGTCAGGCTTTATAGCAAGTGCTATTACTCACTGATGCCTCTCATCGACCCAGACATTAAAGACAAACAAAAAAACAGTATTCCAGCATATGCATTTGTATCTATCAATTCCCTTAGGAACAGGTACCTACATTACTTTACTTCTTGATTCCTGCTACACATACTGATCCCAAACTATGCATATTCTTATATGTAACTTGTTCATACAAGTTCCTCTGAAGGACATAGCCAGTAATGAAACTCCTATGCATGTTCGTTTGTTTTTGAAGGAGGGTCTCCCATGGTCCAGACTAGCCTATGATCCTGGTCTTCATCCATCCATCCACCTCACAGTGCTAGGATTACAGTCACCAGCCACCACATTCTGCTCACATACCCAGTGCTGTATAGCAAATTAATGTTGCCCCCCCATGCAACTTACTTTCCTCAGGGATTGTAGCACTTCCTAACCATAACTCACAGACGAGAATCATGTATCTGGTGAGGGACTGGTTACCAAAATATGAAATCTACTTTATTATGGCAGTTTGGGGTATTGAATACATGTGGTACAAGCTAGGTTAACATTCTACCACTGAGTCATACTCCCAATACTCCAGAAATAATTCTTTACATAAAAAGATGTACAAGCCAAATGTGGTGGCACACCTTTAATCCAAGCACTCAGAAGGCAAGGCAGGCATGAATTCAAGGCCAGCCTGGAGTACATAGCAAATTCCAGCACACCCAGAGCTATACAGTGAGATCATCTCAAAGAAAAAAGAAAGTGTGGTCATGTGGTGGTTTGAAAGAAAATGGTCCCCAAAGGGAGTGGCACTATTGGATGTGGCCTTGTTAGAGGAAGTGTGTCATTGTGTGTGGGGGGGTGGGCTTTGAGGTCTGGTATGCTCAAGCTATACCCAGTGTCACAGTTCACTTCCTGTTGCCTACGGATCAAGATGTAGAGCTCTCAGCTCCTTCTCCAGCACCACGTCCGCCATGATGATAAACCTCTGAAAATGCAAGCCACCCTAATTAAATGTTTTCCTTTAGAAGAGTTGTCATGGTTATAATGTCTCTTCCGAGCAATAGAAACCCTAAGACAGTACACATACACATATTTATACATATATGATTTGCATGTGTATATGCATATACAGGGTCCTTATATATACATGAAAAATAGGCAAAGTCCCTTAATAAACATGAAGATTTGTAAAAACACTCAACATCATTAACCATTATGAAGATCAAAATCACACAACCTTTCACCCACCAGGATAGCTGTAGCAAAAACAGGAAGTACAGACAAGGATGCAGAGAAATCAAAACTGTCATATACTCTTGGGAAGAAATCTGGCAGTTCAACAAGTTAAAACATGGAGTTCCATGACTTAATGATCTCACTCCTAAGTCTGTGTGTGGATATATATGCACAAATACATCTATATAAATATCTCTAGGAAAAATAAAATCACCCACCCAAATCCTTGTATATTGATTATTCATAGCAGCAATATTTATAACAATCAAAAGTGGCAACATCTTGTAACCATCAAATCATCATTAAAATGTATGTGATAAACACACAAATATTCATTCAAGTAGGTGGTGGTGGTGGTGGCACACAGCTTTAATTCTAGCACACAGGAGGCAGAGGCAGGTGGATCTCTGAATTCGAGGCCAGCCTGGTCTACATAGCTCCACAGAGAAACACTGTCTCAAAAAAAACCCAAAATAAATAAATTTTAAAAATATTCAATCAAAAAGGGGAAAATGGATGTCACAACACAGACAGAGCTTAGAAACATGTGACATGAAAGAAGCCAGACACAAAAGGTCCCATGTTAGATGAGTTACACTCAAATTACGTCAACATCAAAGTAGCAAATTCTAGGAGGTGAGAAGCCAGCCAGGAGTTGACCAGGGCAGAGGTAGTCGGGGAAGTGATGAATGACCAGGAATGGACATGAGCTCCCAGTATCCACAGATAACAGTACTTAAAATTCACTGTGCTGATGGCTGCACAGCTCCATGATGTGCTAAAACACACGATGCTAAAATGAAAGGACTCTATACTGTGTAATTTACCTCCATAAAGCTACAGGTTTTTTTTTGTTTTGTTTTGTTTTTAAGAAAACATTAAAATCTATTATCACAGCTTGAGTCCCAGAGCTAGAGTTAGTGGCTCTGCTCTTGCAGGCTTCAATCAAGGCACAGATGAGGGCTGCACCTGAGGCCTGCTCAGGTGGCTTCCACTTGCTGCTGGCCTGGGGGAAGTCTCTGTCTTCACACGGCCCTCTGGAGGGCTGCTGGAGTATCCACAAAGAGATCATCTTTTTCCATGAGACAAGCCATCTGAGAGGGCAGTGCATCGAGGTCTTTCATGAACTTTCAGAAGTCACATGGTTCCTACACATCCTATTGGTGAAACAAGCTAGCCCTATTTACTCTGGAAGGGGACTACCACCCTGGAAGCTGGCTACCAGACTTGATGCTAATGAAGACAATAATACTAACAGCTAAGAATTTTGTGACATTCACTGTGGGCCTGGCAGTTTTACACTCACAGAAATCCATGAGGTAGGTACTCTTCTATTTCACAGAAGGCACAGAGCATTGAGCAGCTCACAGGTGACACTGCCAGCAAAGGACATCCCAGAGCCAGCTCCCAGCAGCACAGCACCACTGCCCACCCTTCCAAAACCACACAGCTCTGCTTCCAGTTTTCCTTCCCTGGGAGCTGCCCGTCTGCAGCCCTCAGGCGACACCAGCTGACACTGAATTTTCATTCGCCCCAAGAGCTGTTGTGGCCACACTAATAGCTGCAGAGTAGAAAATGGTGTAATTTGCATTTAGTTAACTGGGAATGAGGCAATACACTTAACTAGCTATCTATATTTATCTATTTCCTTCTGTTTTCACAGTTGTCTTTTTCTTCCTGGTCTGTAGAGTTCTATCATCCAGTCGACCCTTCATGTACGCAGTCCCTCATCATTGTTACATTGGGTTCTGACACGACCAGCTTTGCTGCAGGAGAAGCCTACATTATGTAGCAGTCAAAGCCATCACAGCTTGTGGGTTGAGCTCTGTCTCCACATTGGGATACAACCCATCACTTGCTCCTACCAGATTTCATTACTTGTTAGGGTCACAAGCCCAGGGCCCCCACATGAGCCATGCTCTGGCTTCACTGCTCTACACTTCATCTGAGTCCTTAATTACTTTATGATTGACGGACATGGATCCCACTTCATTTTTGTGCATATAAAAAGCTGTTTCTGAGCCTCACTAGCCACTTTCCCACTGAAATGTAACACTCACTACCTTATCTCACACCATACTCTGTATTCCTAACCTGATCTAACACTAAATTCTGATTTGCACAGAAGAATGGTTATCATTCCCAAAATTTTACTACACAGCATGCTAAATTAATGAAAACACCAATCACTAATAATCCCAAAATCCCAAGAAGTTCAATGATTGCTGGAATTCTTTCCCAAGCAGAATACCCAGTTAGAAAATGATTAAAAAAATAAATATGTGTTTATTTTTAAAAAGAAAAAGAAAAACACTGGCTAGGAACAAACCCTGGGATAAAGAAGTCACTTGTGTTCTGCCAAAGCCAGCCATAGACAACATGGACACAGCCAAGGTTAGTCCCTCGTCCAAAGGTCAGAACTGACAGCGAGTTGAGGTCTGTCTGTTAGCAAGACAACCATTAGAGCTGAAGTCAGGCTGTCTGTGCTACCACAACCACAGAGCCTTGAAGAAGTTACATGTCCTCAACACTCCACTTGTAGGCTAGCTCCTCCACAGCTTTCTTGCTGGCAAGTCTGGCAAAGCGCTTCTGTTCAAAGCCATTAGATCTGCAATTAAAAGAGAAGTTCTAGTCAGCCAGAACGCTAAAAGTTTATTTTAAAGTGGAAAGGAAAATTACTCAGGGAAACCATCTAAACCACATGCAATGAAATCAAACAAGTCATACAAATTAACCCCTCTTCAGTCCCTGCTCAGACTCATCTCTCACTCTTAGACAAGTGACTCAAACCCCCACTATTCTCTACAAAGGCTCCATACAGCTAGGCCTGAAATCCCAGAGACCCCATAGGCTGAGGAAGGAAAATCACAAGTTCATGGCCTGCATGGGCTAGAGTTAGTTCAAGGTCAGTCTGGACAAATTCATGAAGCCCTGCCACAAAAAGTAGTAAAAAGAGTGGGCTTGACGATGAAGGCCCTTAACCCCAGCACTCGGGAGGCAGAGTCAGGTGGATCTCTGTGAGTTTGAAGCCAGCCTGGTCTACAGAGTGAGTTCCAGGACAGCCAGGGCTACACAGAGAAACCCTGTCTGGAAAAAAAATAGTAAAATGAAGGCTGGGGATGTAACTTAGTGGTAGAGATGTCCCTGCCTAGCATGTGCCAGGCCTGAGCTCAATACACAGTACAAAAACAAAGACTCAACTCACTCTTGGCTGATGTCCACAGACTCCATAATTTAACTATCCATTAACCACGGCTGAGTTCTCACTGGATGTCAGGGCTATGAAAGCCAAGGCTGAGTGACACAGCACCTGTCCCGACAAACTCAGATAAGCGGCACAGACAGGTGGGAGAGTGAGGATCAGGAAGGACTGAGCAAGCCACTCTGTGGGAATGGCCCCAAGCTATGTCTGAAAGCAACAGATGCATGGACACAGAAACAAGAGCCCTGGCCTGGGCAGGGCTCACTGGTGAGGCCAGAGCCTAGAGTGTGGCAAAGGGAGTGGCCATGAGTCAACACTGGAAAGACAAGCAGAGGCCAGATCCCAGTGAGCTTGGGACATGGCAGAGTGGGGGGGGATTTCATCAGGGAAAGGGGTTAAAACTGCATTTCCAGAGATTGCTCTGGAGAGGTGTAGTAAGAAAATTACCAAAGGGCCTGTGCAACCGATGAAGGCAGATGGAGGCAGTGACACCAAGGATGGCAACAGGAACCACGTGAAATGCAAGATCAGTAGGCTATGGCTGACTAGTCACAGCCAAGGGAGGGGTCAGCATGCCTCACCAGTTAAAGAGCCAGTGACCAGACAAATGACGGTGCCACTCACAGGCTAGAGAGCACAGGAGGGAGCAGGTGCAGGTGTAGAGGAGTATGCTCTGTAGGCGAAAGCTGCGTCCGAGGCACAGAAGACTCCATGACCCTGGACACGCTCGCCTGAGTCAGACTACAGATCTGGAACCATGTGCAGACAGACAGCAGCTGAAGGCCTGACTCGAGGAGAGGCAGCCAGAAGGAGCATGGAGTGAGGACAGTGAGGGGCTACATTGGAGAACTGAGAAACACTCAAGATTAAAAACAGAGTAAGGGTCACTCACGAAGAACCAGGAACAGGTCATTATAGCAGCCAATTCAGGGGTGAGGGTCAAGTAAATGGTGAGTGGACCACACATCTCAAATTCCTTTCCCTACTCCCATCCTTCTCTCTCTCTCCCCCCCTCTCTCTCCTTCTCTCTCTCTCTCTCTGCACTGCTACCCCTTCCTTATTTGTTTTTCCTTTGAGACAAAACATTTATACACATACAAAATATCACACAAACACAGGAAATCTAGCAGATAAAATGGCTAAAAAACTTACTCAGAAAATAAGTAATCAAAACAAAACAAAACAAAAACAAAAACCTAGGCAAGCCAGGTGTGGTGCACACATCTTCAGTCCCAGCACTCGGAAGGCAGGACATCCAGGGCTGTTACAAGGAGAAACCTTGTCTCAAAAAACACAAAACAAACAACAACAAAAACATCAAAACTAGGGCAGCAGAGTTCTAAGTTTGGGTTCCAACAAGCCAAAGAAATGAATAGCATGGCAGGCACTTCGGTGGCAATGTCCAACAGCTAAAACAAGAGCCACCCCTGGGTATGCAGCACGTGAGACTGCAGGAAAACCCTCCTGCAAAGGTTCTGCAGTGTGACCCCCAAAGCTCAGCAGCTAGCCTGCAACTGCAGCCCCTCTATGGCTCTCGACCCACAGAATGAACTGGAGTCTTGGATTCCAGAAGCAGCCTGGGGGACAGAAGATAATCTTAGGCCAGTATGAGGTGGGAAGTGGATTTCAACCTTCAAACAGCAATTATAAAACCTGGACAAAATAAGTTGTGACTGAAGGCATGGTGAGTACTAAGGCAGAGGGCAACTTCTCAACCCACACAGCAAAAGTAGGCCACAGGCAGAACCACGGGCTAATTGGCTTGAGGTATTAGTGGCAGTGGGAAGAGCGGCTACAAAATGAGAGAGAGGGAGGAGAGAGAGGGGGGTGGGGAGAGAGAGAGAAAGAAAGGGAGGGAGGGAGAGATGGAGAGAGAGGATAGGAGAGACTGAAAAGGGGATAAGCCTCAGTTATCTACAGCAGACTTCACTCAGAGCTTTGGTGACTCACGATATGCATGCACACAGGGCATCCTACCAGCCTGTGCAGCAGCCAGAGGCACGTAAAAGGTGTTAAAGTGTCCAAGTTCAATATAGATGGTATCCAGATAGAAATCAACAGAGAAATCTAACAGAATGCAAATCTCTACAATGTATCACTCATAAAGAAAAGATCTAATAAATAAACCAACAGAAAAATAACATGTACTGGAGGGGGGTTTAGAATGTTAGCCAGTCATGGTGTCACCAGCATGCAAATTCAACATTCAGGAAGCTATGGTAGGAGGACCTTGAACTCACACCAGCCTGGACTACACAGCCAGTTGTAAACCCCACTGGCCTACAGAATGAGATCCTATCTCAAAAACAGAGGGGTGGTGGTGGGGGAAGAACGGGGCAGGAGGGAGGGTTTACCAACAGAAACCAATCCTGTGAATTGAATGCTGCAATCAGCAGGCAGGACTTCAAAACACATTTAGATATAATTTCCAAAAACAGAAAGCTGTCTCCAAATGGGTGAGCAGATGGGAAATCTCAGTGGAGACATGCAAGCCATCAAATGGGAATTGTAGAGGCAAACCAGCTGAGACAAAACATTCACAACTGATAGCAAGTGACAGAAAACAACTAAGATATCACGACACGGGGTTTGGAAACTGTAATGCCACCTTGGCCTAACGGATTTTATAGAGTGCCATCACCTCAAGTAATAGCAGGATGTATATCAAGTGCAATAGTCACAAGGTAGAATCAAAAGAATAAGAAAATATTCTAAACAAAATCCATCATGTATTTCAGAGAACTTTCTCAATATACCACTCAGGTGATTTTCTGATGGTGCATAATGAAAACATGTCAACACTTGGAAGGTCTGTAAAACTTCACAAATCTACATGTTACAAATGACCACTATATGAAATAATACCAAGCAAGGGTAAAAGATGCAAAGTGTAAAAAAGACTATAGGCTGGGGAGGTGGCTCAGGGGTAAAGAGAACTGGCTGCTCTTCTGCAGTGTTGTAATTCCAGTCTCAGGGGTGCCCTCTTGTGGCTACTAAGCATTCTTCCTGCACAGACATACAAACAGGCAAAACCACACACAAAAATAAACTTAAGGGGGGAATGGATCATGAATTATGCAGACATGGTGGCATATACCTTTAATCCCTTAATTTGGCAGGTAGAGCTCCATGAGTTCAAGGTCAACCTGGTCTACAATAAGAGATCCAGGTGAGTGCCAGGGTTACAAAGAGGCTCTGTCTCAAGGGGGGGGGGGGCAGAAAGCCACAAAGATCATAAATTTTAATGCAAAAGTATCAAAAGTTCTTTACATGTTTCAGACCACATGATAGCCTTGAAGGAACTAGTTTGCACTTTCTACTGCACCTCCCTTTTCTGCTGGTGATGTGGAAGGTTGTACTTTCTTCCTGCACTTCAGCCAAACACATCACAATAGAAAAATTCAGAACCCAGTTGTCTACTGTTGATAGATGTCATTCTGTAAATATGTTTCTCGGATTGGTTAATGACTAAAGCACTGTTGGCCAATAGGAAAGCAAGATAGGCGGGACTAGGAGATGAGGAGGAGAGAGGAAGAAATAGGGAGGAGATTCAAGATGGAGGATGGAGAGAGCAGACTGCTGAGCTCTCTCTCCGGTTAGATGAGACCATGTGGAAACACTTAGATTAAAAGAAATGGGTAAATATTTAAGACAGAGCTAGCCGATAAGTAATGCTAGTAACAGGCTAACAGCTTTATATCTAATACAGCGTCTCAGTGTGTTATTTGGGGCTGGCGCAGCTTTGGGACCAGAATGGTGGGAATACCTTACTCTTAACATACTATGTTCGCAAAATGTTAAATCAATTCTGTCCTTCTGGTTTGTTCATAAAATAATTGTTTTTCATTAAAATAGTAATTATATTAGTATATAGTGGCTTTACTATTTTATATAATGAATAAGTCCTTTTAAAATACATTTTAATTTTTAATATAATGACTATAAATATATAATCCACATAAACAAAATCTTCTTGGGATCCTCAATAGTTTCTTTTAAAATTATGTATTTGTTCATACAGGTGTGCACACACACGCAAATGAACTCATATCATCAGGCTTGGCAACAAGTGCCTTTACCCACAGAGCCATCGCTATACACAGAGTATAAGAGGTCCTAAGATTTAAAACTTTGGGAATCATCACACTAAATGTTAATGTTCTGTGTGAGCAAGAGGAGACCCTAGGCAGAAGCTGTCCTGACATTCAGGAAGCTTGAGTATACAAGTGAGACACTAGCGAGTAACCGGATGAGGTGGCAGGGCTGAGAATACCTGGGACTTCCTCTAGGACAGCAAAGAGAACTGTTAAAGACACAACACAGAGAGGGAGGGCTCCAGCACACAAGGCTCGCCTGTCCGCTAATCCTTAGAAAACCAGTGTTTGAAGAGGAAGTGCGAGAGTTGAAGGTCAGCTTGGCTATGTAGTGAGACACTCAAAAACAAAAAGAAAGGAAAGGGGAAAAGAAAAATGAGAAGAAGCGGTGGTGGTCACGCCTTTAATCCCAGCATTCATAAGGCAGAGGCAGATGGATTTCTGTGAGTTCGATGCCAGCCTGGTCTACAGATCAAGTTCCAAAACAGCCAGGGCTACACAGAGAAATGCTGTCTCAAAAAAAAAAAAAAAAACAAAAACAAAACAAAACAAAAATAAAACAACAACAACAAACCAAAACCAGTCTGGAGAAGAGAAAACAAAACAGGAATCACATCTACCTGTCCACTCCATCCCAGCGGTATCCAGGCCAGATATTGAATCTATTGGGAGGAGGTGCAGGCCCACTGTAGCGAGGTCTCACTAAAGACAAAAATGAGAAAAAAGAAATTAGCTACTGATATAATTTGATTCAAAGCTGGATGGCAATGGGAGAAAAGTGTTCATGAGAGTTCCTATTCTTCTGAACCCAACCTTTCAATAGGCATTACAGTTGTGTGGGTAGCCTCCTCTGTGGGAGGATATGTATGGCCCTCTGACAACTCTCTCTTCAACCATCTCCAGCTCCAGCAACATCAAGTCTTACCTTTCTTATGCTTGTTCTCCTTAGCCTTGTTCTTCTTAATGAAGTTGGCCATCGGGTCCCCTTCTCTTTCTTGCTCTCTTAACATCCGATCCAGATCTTCATCATCGATATAGCGGGCCAGAGGCTTCTGCATCTCCTTCATTGCATCCTCAACATTCTGCTGCTGTTGCCGGCTCTGGGCAAGCCTGGGCAAAAAAGAAGAATCCTGGTTGACAACTTCCTTCTACACTGGAGGGTCACAATGCTAACAGAGGCTAACTAATAGGGTAAAAGCCCAGAATCTCAACTGGTGGTATGAACCCACCATCTCTTGGGAGACTCAGCACCTCAGGCTCATCCCCATGTCAGCTCTGTGCTCAGGAGAGTCCTTACCCTTTCCCCCACTGCGCATATAGCTCATCTCGCTCTGAGTCCTTCTCTGCTTTTCTCCTCTGTTCCAGGCGCTCCAGCTTCAAATTCCTCTTCCGACCTGACTTGTCTCGAAATACAGTTTCAGCGAATTCAAACTGAGCTATGAAGGGAAATCACATTTTTAAGATAAACACCAAGCATCACAATCAAATAACACTCTAGCACCTGAACCAGCTGCTTGGGAATTTGGTGTTGGTAAGAAGTCTATAGTCAGACCACAATGGCTCCTACCACTGTATGCACACAGGAAGGGAAAGAAGCTCTTGAACTACTGATGTTAAAGTGAGCGCTGCACAAAAACCAGAGCAAGAGCCAGGCAATGGTGGCACACACCTTTAATCCCAGCACTCGGGAGGCAGAGACAGGCAGATCTCTGTGAGTTCAAGACCAACCTGATCTACAGGAGCTAATTCCAGCACAGGCTCCAAAGCTACACAGAAACCCTGCCTTGAAAAAACTTAAAAGAACAAAAACAAAAACAAAACAACCAGAGCAGAGATACAGAAGCAATGAAGTTTTCACTAGCAAATACAACATGCCACACTTAAAAACAGAAAAGACAGAGAGCTACACAAGCCAAAAGAGGACCCCTGAATGCTCACGTTTGTACCTCCAAGGGCTGTGATGTCTTGGTCCTGTTTCTTGAGCTCTTGCTGCTCCTGCTGAACATCAGTAACCAACCCAGTTTTCGCTCCGGAATACATGTGTGCAGTCTGTGCAAGAGAAGAGGAATACATGTGTGTGCAGTCTGTGTAAGAGAAGAGGAACACATGTGTGTGTAGTCTGTGCAAGAGAAGAGGAATACACATGTGTGCAGTCTGTGCAAGAGGAGCACATGTGTGTGCAGTCTGTGTAAGAGAAGAGGAGCACATGTGTGTGTAGTCTGTACAAGAGGCGAGGCAACGGCCAATACCAGGAGGCATCCAGCTGCATGTATGTCTGATCATCAGCGATAACCAAACCAAAACCTCTAGTTTCATATTTTCATTATTGACTATAGGCTCATACTACAGGGGAGAAGTCTCTAATCTCATGAAACACTTCATACTATCAAAGTTTAAAGTAAACAGAAACACAAACATATAGCACATAAAAGCAAGGGGTAAGAACAAGCACACTTTCTTTGTTTTTAAAATAGGGTCCCAGCTAGACAGTGGTGATGCACACCTTTAATCCCAGCACTTAGGAGACAGAGGCAAGCAGATCTCTGTGAGTTCAAAGCCAGTCTGGTCTACAGAGCTAGTTCCAGGGGAGCCAGACACAAAGAAACCCTGTCTCAGAAAGAAAGAAAGAAAAAAAAAAAAAAAAAAAGATAGGGTCTCATACAATACAGGCTGGCTCACTTATGCACATTTCACAAAGAAAGAAGCTGAGAATTAAAGAAATCAAGTTTCTTGCCCAGACTCACAGAAACTATATAACAGAATAGGATTTAAAGCTATGATTGGTTTCATGGGGTTCTATGGTCCCAACTGCACTCTGCAGGATGTAAACCGAAGCTTATTATTAAGAAAACAGGTGGTGTCTGCCTGTCCTATCAGGTGGGATAGGCAGGTTACAAGTTCAAGGCTAGTCACTCAAAAAACAAAGAAAAAACAGGAGGGCTTTCTTTGAAACTTTGAAACTTGTGGCATTATAAGGCTATAAAAGGCAGAAACTTCCTGGGAAATCTGGCACAGCCAGGTACTCTTGATCCAAAACTGGAAATTCAAAACAGTCCATAATCCAAGACATTTGAGCATCATTTTGTACAGCATCTACAAAGTCTTGGAACCCTCAAGCATCTGGATAAGGTGTCCTCAAGCCTCTACTTATAAGTCCAGCTCAGATGAGTCAGAGCCATGTTATGCTGCCTTCAGAAAGAAAGTTCCAGAAATGCTTTTAACTCAGATTTAAGGCACTGTATCCCAACTCTCTGGCAGCAATCTTTTTGATGTCTGTAAAGCTAGAAAGGAGGAATCACTCTGATAAAGACACAAGTCCTGGAAATCCCTACCTTCTTCCCAGGACGGGGACTCCTTCGAGGAGGAGAGAGATCAGAATCAGAAGATTTGGTTCTCTGTCTTCTCCGGGGTGGAGAGAGGTCAGAGTCAGAGCTCTGATGTCTCTGTCTATTCCGTGGTGGTGATAGATCTGAATCAGAATCCTGGTGTCCTGAATTTTGTTTTTGGCGTGGAGGAGAAAGATCTGAATCGGAGGCTTTTTGGCAGACACCTAGGTAGAAAGGAGCAGTCAAAGTGTGACTTGCTGTCTCCTAGGAAAAACATTTACATAAAATCTCCTGTGGCTAAGAGAACCTAGGGATTAAAGAATGCATTGAGGATGGGATGGTTCAGGAGTAAAGTAAACCTAGTATGTCAGACCCTGGTTCTGGTTCCCAGCACAGGGGAGAGAGAGGGAGAATAAATTAACCCCATTGGAAGAATGTTTATAAGATCTTACCAAGCTAGGGTACAGTGTCTGACAGTTAGCCATCCTATGAGAAAAAAATATGACTAACCAAAACACAAGCACAGGTGAGACAGAGAACAAAGTCAGTGGCTATTTCCTGGCCACCAGTGTCTGGTGACTTTGAAAAGCATGTGAGATTTCAGACACTCATCTACACTTTGGTCTCCCACTGCCACTCTGCCCAGAACCAGCAGGAGAGCTTAGAGTCAGCCCTCTGTGGTATGGCAGAGACAGAAAAGCCTGGATGTTCTCAAACTCAAGACAACACAGTAATTTAATTTTAAAATTAAAACGGTAGCTTAAACAAATGAACGAGTAAGAAACTTTCTGCATATGTCTGTTCTAAATAACTGTGTCACTGTTCACCTTCTGAGAAGCAGCCCTGTAGTAGGTACCAGGTTATAACAATGGCCACACATCTGACCTAGCAAATAATTGCTCAGCTTTCTAGGAACCCATCACTTAAATCCCCAAGAGATCTAAGATAAGAAACAATTCATAGTTGTTGCAACAGTATATGTACAGAATGGTTGTCAAATATCCTAAAAACAAAGTTAGAAATAATCCAAAGCATGCAATCTCAGGGAAATGGTTATGTCAATTTATGTAACATAAAAAGGTTTAAAAAAAAAAAAATCACAGCAACATAAAGATACCTATAACCCAGGAAAAACTATTGAGTGGATGGGGCAAGATTACACATGCAACATGCACATTTTGCACAGCCAGGCTCAATTACACCTAGTATGTATGCCAGAAAGCACCCAAGGCCACTGGCTACAAATCTGAATGACACAATCTTGTGAAACCTTTCCTGGGTCTATACATTTCCATACATTCTGAAGCTTCTGCATTCCACACAGGGTTTTTCATTTTTATTTATTATTACTGTATGTGTGCAGGCACCCACATGTGGAGGTCACAGTCAGTTTTTTCCTTTCAATACACTGGTACAGAAAATGCTTTACCCACTGAGATACCTCACCAATCAGTGCCTTTTTATGGGGTAGGCAGGGTAAGTAAAAGCACATAAAAAGTTTCCATCCTACCCCTTTAAGTTTTCAAGTCTAAGCCTAGCCTCTCATGTTTCAAAATGTTTCCAAAGAAACTCATTCTCATATTCACAGGTATGAGCTTCCTCTTATGCATAGCTATATGCTCACCTTTAGGATCAAGCTGCTTCTTAGCTCCAACATGAGCTTTTGCTTGCCGTTTCCGTGGAGAAAGGTCTGAGTCACGGCCATACTTGCTGTTCTTGGAGACTGATGGGTGAGAGGATCCCTGGCCCCTCTGGTATACAGTCTTGCTACAGGATCTTTCTGTAGCTTTACTACTTTTGGTTCTGGGCAGTTCCAAATCAGGGGAGTCATGATGGGGCCTCCTGAGATGCTGTGGGTCTGAAGCATCAACAGTTCTCCTATGTTGGGCTGTGTCTGGGGAGTGATTATGGGCCCTGCTGGGGGAAGAGATACCTGAAGAACCATGGTGACCTCTCCTAGGAGATACACCTGAAGAATTATGATGAGACTTCCTGAGGAGAGAAGCATCTGAGTCATGGCGGACCCTTCTGGGAGGAGATGTGTTTGAGTCATGATGGGATCGCCTTGGAGGAGAGGGATCCGGGGTATCATGACGGGTCCTTCTGGGAGGAGACAGATCTGGGGTATCATGATGGGCCCTCCTAGGAGGAGATGGATCTGGTGTATCATGACGGGTCCTCCTGGGAGGAGCTGGATCCAGGGTGTCATGACGGGTCCTCCTGGGAGGAGCTGGATCCAGGGTGTCATGACGGGCCCTCCTAGGAGGAGATGGATCTGGTGTATTATGACGGGTCCTCCTGGAAGGAGATGGATCCGGGGTGTCATGACGGGTCCTCCTAGGAGGAGATGGATCTGGAGTGTTACGACAGGCCCTCCTAGGAGGAGATGGATCTTGGTCATCATGATGGAAATGTCCATCTTCACTGTGGTCTAAACACAAAAGCAAATAGTCAGATCCCCACCAGTACTCTGTCTACATCTCATTCAGTTTAAAAACATGCTCCAGAAATACACATCTCTGAACAACTTGAAAAGCCCATAAGGTCTACCTGGCTCTTGTGCTTAGGGGCAGCAAACCAGCACTCATAGACAACCTAAAGAGTAACTCCTCTCATTTGCCTCCCAAGACCTACAGTAAGCAAGGAAGGTGATCTTGCCTAATAGACATGAAAAAAAGGTTCTGGGAATTCCCTAAGGTCACCATTACTAAGAGGAGATATGCTCCACCCCAGTTACTTCACTCCCAATCCAATTCGTTTTCCAGTGATTCCTATTGCTATGCAGCCTAGATCATTTACAGGTTTACTCACTCCTTTTCCAAAAGGCACAGTGACTAAACCTGCATACATCAAAATAAAATGTACTAAGTATTTAATCCATGTCATTACACTCCCCTTTTAAAGAGGGAAATCAACAGGAAAAGAAAAATCAAGCATAACTGTTATCTACTGTGTGGCAATGCTGTATACAGATCACTTAATTCTCACAAGGCTAGGATGTAAACATCACTAGTCCTCCTTTATAGAAGAAGTCACTGACACACAGAATCAAACAATCTGCCACAGTCATATCACTAATAAGTGGTAAAGGAACTCTCTAGAGCTAAACCTGTGTGGCTCCGCAGTCCATGGGCAATCTTTATAAATATGCCACTGAGGGGAAACATGCTGTTTAAGAGCCTAGACTTTTAGATGCAAAACAGATTAATATGTCCTGGTAACTGGGGCATTTCTAGGTTCCAGTTCCCCCTCTCTATTTCTTGCCATCAGAGCTCCATCCATGGCCCAAATAAAAATAAAAGGAGGGCAGGACCTGATGAATTCATACTAAACAGATAATTCAAGCCAAGTCAACTCTCCTTCACTTTGGGGAAACAGCCTATCTGACCAGACTGATGATGCCAGTGAGGAAATGGACAATGAATCTCATGCACAAGGCAAATCAACCCCATGTATAAAGAGGGAGGGAGGGTAGGATGTCAGAGTGGATATCTATCTCTAGTAACAAATTGAGGCAGGGTAGTAAGAATAGGGCAGAAGAAAAAGGACTGTGCATACACATGTACATTTGAGAGACGTCTTAGACACATAGACAAAGAAGCATAAGCTCTCTCTCTCAGACAAGTAATGCAAAAGACAGGAAAACAACCATAAGGCACAAAATAATGAGTCAGACTTAAAACAATTCTAATAAAGTGGTCAATTCTGATAAAATGGTCATGAGAATAAAATTTTCACTTGTGAAGCTAAGTGACAAGGTAATGTACTGAAACTAACTGAGGAAGTAATCACTATCGTGTGGTGCAGTGGCATTTCTGTAGCGTATTCTTTTCCATCAGTGCTGCAGGGTAGTTAGCCTAACGGCACAGAGGATAACACAGGAAGACAAATCCCATTTAAGAGCCAATTCTTTCATCACCTGTGTGTGAAAATTGAACAAGCACCAGGAATATTCTGTAGTTAAAAAGGTCTCAAGAAGTAAGACCCAAGCACAATGGCCTGGGCTGTAAGACCTGGTCTCACAAGTTTAAAGAAAAGAAAGAAGTGGGGAGCGTGAGCGACTATGTTTGTGAAAAGTCAGAAGAGAAAAGAGACATAAACTGAAGGACAACACTCCGGGTCCTGACGCGTGAGCTGCTTCAGAACAGTGGGAAGCCTGGGCCTTGGTGCTCCTCCTGCTTCTTAAGAACTCCTCCCAAGGCCCTGCTATTCACCAACTGCTCCCTGTTGTGGGCCAGGGAGGAATGGGTCTCAAAGGCTTCTAAACAGTCGTTCTGACAAGTCAGCCTCTAACTCCCCAAAGCATTAACACCTTTTTCCCACCATATTTTTCACAATCACTGACACAATGACAAACTATGCATTCCTCTAGAGCAGTGGTTCTCAATCTTCTTCATGCTGCCACCCTTTATTACAGTTCCTCATGCTGTGGTGACCACCATCCAGAAGATTATTTCTTGCTACTTCACAACTGTAATTTTGTAAATATTTATGATATAATTTATAATATGAAATAACATAATAGCAATATAATATCTGCCAGGCAACCCCCAAAGGGGTCGTGACCCACAGGTTTGAGAGCCACTGCTCTAAAGCAAGAAGGTTATAGGAACTTACCTTATAAATGAGACGTTTAGATTTATCTGCTATTGATACTCACCTCCCAGAAGCTTCCATTTGGCACTGGAGCGGAAGGCCTCCATCTGCTTTACCTCTTCTGGACGTTCATCCACAAACTCAGCCACCTACAGGAGTAGGGACACTACAGTAAGGGAAAAACTAATCCAGCCAAGGAGCACTTGCCTCAAGAACCTGGAGCCATAACCCGTCCTGTTCCTAACGCACTCAGTGTCTACAAACTCTTGTGGCTGTAAGGAAACACGCAGCACTGCCAGTTATTCTCGTCCCATGAACACTGTCACTTGGATGACTTAGTTGCAGACCTTTCTCTCACTAGTCAATCTGCCTCCAAAGATAAAATCATTACAAATCTTTTTATTAATTGTGCTGGCACACAATGGCCACTTGTAAGGGAAAAGCTCAACTCCTTTACACTTTTATGTTTCATGCACAGTGAGAACACTGCTTTCCTAACTTGCCTATCACCAATCACAGATTTTGGCCCCCATGAAACCTTCCCTGTGAGTAGTAACAATGATAGGCCTTGAAGCCAACTAAAGGGAACTACTGGCCATACACCAAATTACAGAATGTTTAAGGACAACCTCCAAATTTCCTAATCAATGATCATGATCACTCACAGAATTCTCCCTGATGGAGAACTCACCTTTCAAGCCAGTCCACTGTAAGAGTGCTAGAATATTATTAGTTTTACTGGACCCACATCTACCTTCATATAACTTCTCTTCCTCCATCCTAACTCTGACTTCTTATCCCTTTCCAAATGGAAGACCTTCATTGAGGCTGGCGTAAATAAATTGTTACAGAGAACAGCTGTGCAAGATACTATTTCACAATTATCTTATTCAATCCTCACCATAATCCTAGCCACTGACTAGCAAACTGTGCCTCAGAGAAGTGAAATGACCACAGGCTAGCAAACTGTAAACGTAGAATTCAAACCCAGGTCATAATTCCTCTGTGGTGCTTCTGCTCCCCAAGTTCCTCATATAATCTACTTCTGAGCTCTGTCCCCAGGCACTAAAAGCATGGCTTCAATGTGGGATGAACTGAGACCCAGATCATCCGTTCCCTCACTTAGCCTTGGTGTGACCTTTGGCAGAGTGTCTCAAGTCTCAATGCCTTTCTTTTGTTTTCTTTTTGTTTGTTTATTTTTTAAAACAGGGTCTCTCTCTCTGTAGCCCAGACTGTCCAGGAACTCACTCTGTAGATTACATATTTGGGTATACAACTGCTATGGCTATGCAGGAATACCAAGACTTGGGTGTATAACTGGGTGGTGTTGGGAGTTTTGGTGGTGAATATTTTAATAGTTAGGATATATATATATATATATATAATACTGGAGTTGAGGTGGTAGTAGAATTTAGTAGAATATAGGTTGGACCTCCTGCTTCTGCCTCCCTAGTGCTGGATTAAAGGTGTGCACCGCCACCACGTGACTCAATGCCCTTATTCTAAAAGTAGGACTCAAAGAACTACTCTGAAGATTGAATGGGATCCTTTGTGTTCACTTAGCAGTACCTGGTACTAAATAAATGCTCAGTCATTTTTACATGCAGAAAATTGCTTGTTTCTCCTTGTGATCACATGACTTGCTTCCACTGCCCATCATGAGACTCTCATACCCAAACAGTGCTAGCCTGGAAGACCAGAATTCAAAACCATTTATGATGAAAATTTATCATATTCACGCCACCACACATTCAAATCACTACTTGGGGAACATTTGTATAAACATCACGGATGAAAACAGTGCTGAACAGCTCTTTAAATGTCACCTTCTCCCTTGCTCAGCTTTCCCCCTGCAGCTCTCTCCCACACCAGGGAGTCAAGGCTGAGATGCTTGGATCATTTCAAAGTCCTGACAAGAGTACAAAAGATACATACCACAGGCAAATCTCCATCTTCTTCCTCTTCTTTTTCCGGCTTAGTGGTAGAGATAGCTGCCCAGCCCACATCATCATCAACAATCCGCATTCTAGATGGGGACAATAAAAGGCTCAAAAAGAACTCATTCTGGGACACAGGCCTATGTACACTTACCTATTTTTTTTGTTTTGTTTTGTTTTGTTTTGCATTTCTCTCTCTCTCTCTCTCTCTCTCTCTCTCTCTCTCTCTCTCTCTCTCTGTGTGTGTGTGTACCTGCCACAAAATAACAAAATACATACGGAAGTCGGAGGACAACTTGCAGGATTCAGTTCTCTCCCTCCACCATGTGGGTTCAGAGGATTGAACTCAGGTTGTCACTTGTTGGCAAGCACTGAGCCATCTCACCTACTGGCTTTTAAAGTTCAAAAGTATGGCTCAGTCTTTGTGTATATGGACTGCTACTGTCAGTTCACTCCATCATTGTCCATATTTTTTGTTGGTTTTGGTTTTTGGAGACAGGTTTTCTCTGTATAACAGCCCTGGCGATCCCAGAACTCACTCTATAGACCAGGATGGCCTAGAACTCAGAGATCTATCTGCCTCTGCCTCCCAAGTGGCTTACACTTCCACATTGCTTTTCATCACCGAAGGAAGTCAGGACAGGAATTCAAACAGGGCTGGAACCTAGAGGCAGAAGCTGATACAGAGGCCATAATAGGTGCTGCTTACTGGCTTGTTCCCAGTAGCTTGCTCGGCCTGCTTTCTTATAGAACCCAGCACCACCAGCCCAGGGATGGTACCACCCACCACTAGCTGGGCCCTCCCTTACTGATCACTAATTGAGAAAATTTCCAACAGCTGGATCTCATGGAGGAATTTCCTCAGCTAAGGCTACCTTCCTCTGATGACTCTAGCTTATGTCAAGTTGACAAACAAAACAGGCCAGTACACCATCCAAGTTGCAGTGGGGTTTGTAAGTAACCTAGAGATAGTTTAAAGAGGATGTGAATAGTTTACCCACAAATATTGTACCGTTGTGTGGAGGAACTTAAGTACCCGTAGACTTGAGGAACCAGTCTACCAACTACTGAAAGAAGATGGCATCCAATAGATATGATTCACACAGTTAAACTGTGTGTGCTGCAAAGAGGTATTTGAAAAGCCAGGAACACATGCTACATCTTAATCACAACAGCCATTTCAGACACTTTGGCAGACTAGGACCCGAGTCTCAGAGAGACGAACTCTCTCGCCCAAGATCACCCAGGCTATAAAGTAGCACAGCTAGGATTCAGATTCCAGTCAGTGCTGTTCCAAAGCTTAAACCGTTTTCCCTGCATGACCGTTTTCCCTGCATGACATTTGCTCCTTCTTAACAATCACACTGAATTTACCACCCACCTTAACTGAGTATAAGCACAAAGATCCCATCTGTAAATGATGTCATGCTGAACTTCCAAATGAAGATAAACTTGGGCAAAGGGGGAATTAGGAAATTAGTCTACCCACTTCAATGGGCTACAAAATTTTCTCAGTAGAGATATGACAATAATGTTGTCAGCTCACTGTGACAGCGAGTGTGAGCCACACTTTATATTCTATCTAGCACCTTCTCTAAGCTGCTAAACTCCTAGCAAGCAGCAGACACAAGGCAGGGTGTAAGAATGGGATTAGCTTCCAGAATTTTGACTTTGTATCCAAAATAGTACCTTCTTAGTAAGCTGCTAAACTTAGGGTCCCTGCTCTAAGTCCTGCGGGCTGATGTTGGATCTCCTGTCCCAACCCTTCCAGATACCGGTGGCCAAGTCACTACAGCCTATGTCACCCGAAATGTCTCAACACATCTCTCTTTCAAACCTGGAAAGTATATTATTTAAAACACTGTCTACTTCACCACAATGTCTTGAAAGTTACATGGTCGAAGGTTTTAGAAAGAGGTCAGGTACATGATATAAACTGTTACTGTTAGTAGTAGGCAAGAGTTAACAGAACTTGGATCTTTGGTTACAGATCAGTTCCTAATACTTTGAAGGCCCCCAAAACAGATTTTTTAATTCTAAAACTTAAAAAAAAAAAAAAATACAAGCACTTGGACTTTGAATTAGTTCTCTCGGGGCACGACTTTTCAGTCTGTTGGGAGGGACGACACAAGGCTACAAAGGCGGGAAAAACAGCGAGGAAAGTTCTAGCTGGCCTTAACGCATGGAAGGCACTGCTCAGAGGACGAGGTCTGCGCTGCAGGAGGCGGCGATGAGCCGGCTCGGGAGCAGCGGAGACGGGCCTGGGCTCGGGCCGGGGTCGGCAGCGCTCCGAGCGCCGCGCGGACAGGGAGGAGGAAGAGCTGCGGCCGAGGGCGCAAAGGGGCAGCGCGACGCCCCACCAGTCCACTCACCCCTTGCCACCGGCGCCTCCCGGCTTCGGCCGTTTTTTGCGCCGCTTCCGAACCGACTCTGGACCTCCTTCGGAGCCGGCATCTGCCCCAGATAAGTAACGCTTCAGATACTCAGCTTTGGAGAGCGGCGGAGCTGCCGCCATGGCAGCGGCGAGGGCGGGGCAACGGCTCGGTGTGAGGGACAAAATTCTTCTACGGTAAACGGATGGGGGCGGAGCCAGGAGCGGAAGCCCTTGGAGTGGCACTTACGGAACTACTGGAACTGATAGGTGTGATGAATTTAAAAAATCCTTTACAGGCTCGGTGTTGGGAAGGGGAGGTGCGTGCATGCATCTTAGGGCCGGTTCTGCTTTCCTGTAACGAAGCATCCGTGCAACACCCTCAGACGGCACTATTCCAGCCAAGAGGTCACAGGCCCATTTAACCAGATCCTGCCCCGATGGCTTCTGCACCAGAGTAGGGAAGAACCAACACCCTGGAGATCAGAGCACCTGTCTGAATATAGGAAGGACCAGTCAACTCTACCACTGGGGGCAAGTTACTGAACAGCACTTTAATAACGGGTGCCGTGTGAAATGCTTACAAGTGTCCAGCACAATTAGTTTATTTCAGTTTTATTGTTGGATTTCTGTTTTTGTCACACATCTGCCTTTATTGTAAACAGCAAATGGGACACATGTAGCAATGGTTAAAAAAAAAAATTAATTTACAAAAGGGACTCAGTGAAGCTCATACGTAGATGTCACCCCAAAGCAGGAGGAAGAGAATTCCAAGCCCATGAGGAGATGAGGAGCTCTTTGTAAATATCATGTGTATACTTGGAGGTGACCTTGTACAAAGAATCAAGAAGTACCACAAGCAGGTGTAGGAAGACAGCTGGGTTGACCCAGCTGGTGTACCTACTCATGGCTTCCTGCTCTTTTGCCCTGCACACAATAAACCATCAGAAGAACTATTTCAGTTATTTTTAGTGGTAGAAATACCTTTTGATGGACAGTCTGCTGGAACAGGCTTCCAAGTACCATTCGGGGTAAGACAGACAAATCCCACCCCCAATATGGTGACTGTGAAAAGTGGGATGGTTCCATCAAACGTGTATTGAGCTTTTCACGTTTGGTATTTTCTCTTCAAGAAAAAGGTGTAAAATCTTCCCAGTAAAAATGACATTTGCTAGTCATGACACTGTTGCTAGTGTGGCAAAGAAAAGAAAGCTAGGAAGACTCTAGCATTTCTTCCGTAGAAGGTTAAGTGTTTTGTGAATCTTCATTTGACCCTCACAATTCTGTTTCTTCTTCCATCCGGCACTGAGGATTGAACCCAGGGCCTTGCACCCAGTAAGCAAGAGTTCTATAGAACTACCTCCCCCACCCCTTTCTGAAATTTGAAGACATCATCTTGCTAAGTTGCCCAGGCTATCTTCATTTGTTATCCTTCTGCCTCAGCCTCCCAAGTAACTGCACTGCATGTCACCATGGCTTAGCCTTTAGTTTTATTAGCCTTCTTTATAGGTGATAAGTTTGGAGAAATACAGGAGCACACTCATTCTCATACTCCCACATTCTGATTTTTCTAGCAAAGGCCAGCCGAATACGGTGCAGGTTATCCAGTTTGGGTTTGGTGACAGGGTTTCTCTGTATAGCCCTGGCTGAGATCTACCTGCCTCTGCCTGAGTGTCAGGATTAAAGGTAGGGAGTGATACAGCCAATGTCCTCCTCTAGCCTCCAGAGAACTACATACATACACAATTACATACATGCACACACATCATTACATGGGTGCTCAAGCATGTGTGCACACACACTAAAGCTTTGAAGTTTGAGTTATTTGCTAACCTAGTCTTCAGACTCTTAATAAAAACTCTCACTCACAAAAACTATGGACTTCCCTTCCACCTCACTCTCTCTCCCTCACCTGTCACTGTCAGTTAGTCCCCCACTAGACTTTTTGTTGGTTTTCTGAGACCGGGTTTCTCCATGTAGCTCTGGCTGTCCTGGAACTTGCTCTGTAAATCAGGCTTGCATCTGCTGGGATTAAAGGTGCATGCTACCACACCTGGCTTCCCTGGTTAGACTTTAAGCTGCAGGATACACCTGGCTCCAGGTAGACAAGCATTGTCTGTTGGAATGAATGACATGCTGCCTCTGGCTGCCCCCATGCCAGTAACCACCTGAAGAAGGATTTGTTTGCAAACTACTTTTGTTCTTCTTTTTCTTTTTTTGAAGACAGTATCTCACTGCATGGCCCACACTGGCCTCAGGCTCCATGACCAGCTAAGGCAGCTGGATTCTAACAGCAAGATCATTGGCAAGGACACAGTGAATGCAGAGGCGGGTGTTGTTTAAAAGCCATCATCACTTTAATGCAAGCTTCACCAATGCTCCATACCCATCTCCCCCAGAAGAGCTTTCCTGCTGAAAGTCAGAGAAGCCCGAACACAGCTGTAACTTGTATTTCACTGAAGAGGTCCAGCACTGGAGGGCAGAGAGCTGATAGGCAAAAGGTGATGGCAGACTTCATGATGTTTCTGGGGTACTTCTCAGACTGATTTAAAACCTCCAAAAGAAGGTCAAGGAGCACAGTAGGCCTGCAGCTGCATTGCCAGCTGCTCACCTCAGGTGTTTAGATCTCTAGCTGAGACACCCTCCTCACCATGGGCAAGAGCTTGGGTGCTCATCGTTGTCCAACAGTCATAAATAAGCCCATGGAGCTGGTGACACTAAAGCTGGCCTGTGAGCTGTGCACAGCTACCGCTGTGGGGCCAGGCCTGCCTCATAGCCCTCTGTCTTCATGTCATTGAGCCCGAGCTCCTCATTTTGGTCAAAGGAACGCTTGTACCGCTCTACCTTCATCTCCGGATCATCTTCAGGGGCATACACATTCTGCAAGGTCAAGAGCAGACAATCAGTGCCCTGTATGCCACCATCCCTTCCCACAGATGCAACTGACTCTCAGTTTTCTAAGAACTCCACAGGATACATAGGGCCTCTAGTGTCCAGGGCACATAGTCTGCACATAAAAATTCAGGAGGTGCTGGTGTCAAACCCAGGACTCTGTACATGGTATACAAGTGTTTAGCCACTGACCTACATCCCCCCGTTCAAGTATTTTTATATGCGAGTCTTCTTTTAAAAAAAAAAAAAATGCAACCAACTTGTAATGCCAGCACTCTGTGGAGACTGAGGCAGAAAAATTATAGTTTTAAAGCCAGCCAGGCCACATAACAAGGTCTTGTTTCCAAAAGAAAAAGAGGGTGGGGGAAAAAAGGAAGGGAGGGAAGGAAGAAGGGATTACAGCAATGGTCTTGATGATATAAATAACTTTGGCTGGTTTGCCAGTCCCATTAGTACTCATTAATAATAAAGTAAGGTTGAGGCCCTGGGTCCGAACACCACAAACAGCAAAAGATTGCTATAGTTTTATCAATTAACAGATGCTTGCCCAGTCAGCTTAACATCTCTCAGCATTCTGTCCTGACATCTGGACAGGACTCTAATGCTCATTACTTCAGTCTGAGATGCAGAATGGAAACCTCAGAGCTGAGGATAAGAGTAAGACAGCCAGGCGCAAGAAGAAAAGAGCTTACTTTCTTACTCACTCTTAAACCTGGGTTTTTGAGCTTGCTAGCTGGGCAGGCACTCACTCTCTCTCTGTTTTTAGTGATTTACTTACTTTGATTTTTTTTCATGTGGATTATTGTTATATCTGTGTGAGAATATCAGATCCCCTGGAATTGGAGTTACAGATAGTTGTGAGCTTCCATGTGGTGCTGAGAATTGAACCCAGGTCCTCTAGAAGAGCAGTCAGTGCTCTTAAATGCTGAGTGAGCCATCTCTCCAGCCCTTATTCTTGGCTCTTTTTTTTTTTAAATCTTGAGACAGTCTCACTAAATTGCACAGGCCAGTGATGGGGGATGTCCTTCCATATATCATTCTCTTATTGACTGATGACTAAAACACTGTTTGGCCAATGAGGCAGGAAAATAGGTGGGACTAGGAGACAAAGAGAATTCTGGGAAAGGTAAGCAGGGAGGGCCTGCCAAAGATATATGTAGCTGCCAAAGGAGTAAGAGATATGGACCCTTCTCTGGTAAGATAAGGCCACGTGGAAATACTTAAGATTAATAGAAATGGGTTAATAATTAAGACAGAGCTAGCTAATAAGAAGCCCTAGCCTTTAGCGAATAGTTTTATAATTAATGTAGTGTTTGTGTTTATTTGGGGCCAAATGGCTGCGGGAACCTTCAGCAACAGGCTACTCTTGAACTTGCAATCTTTATAGTCTTCTGAGCTCAGATTACAGACCTGCACTAGGTCTGGCTTATTTAACCCTTCATTACACACACTTCCCACCTTCCCCATTCTTCCTATCTTCCAAGTCTGCCCAAAACTCCAGTTGAAGCAGTCCACTTAGAAGCCAGTCTTTCCTTGTCAAGGGCTACCATACACATTCCAAGAAAATCAGAACAACGAGGGAGGCCTACTGTACCTGCAGGTAACTGTTTCCTGCTGGATCGTCCATAACAAAGTGGGCCTTCATCTTGCCCTCGATGATCTACACACAGGAGAAAGGAGGACATAGCAGGTACATTTTGCATTGATCCAGGAAGGAAGAGGCTATAGTTGCCAGACAAGAGTCAATGCTGTTTAAAAGGTACAGTTCCCAAAAAATGTGAAGAATAGGGAAATTGAGAAATTAGGATTTACAAAAATGGCCATATCCTCTTACCTGATCCAACTTCTGGCTAAACTCCTGTAGTTTCTCTGACTGGTCAGGATTTGAGCTATCGCCCAGTGTGAAGGGGTTCTTGGTCACCTGCAGCCCGTGACAGATGAGTTACTACAACACCAACTGTATGGGTTATTAGGTTCAAGCACAAGGCAGGTGCAGAAAGCAGTGAGTGCCCAGTCACAGTAGGCTGCTCTCCACCTCCCACACTGCCTTGCTGCCTTAGGTGAGGGGAGGCAGGGGGCAGAACAGGACAGGGAAGGATGTCTATGAGACTGCTTTGCCAAGAAGGTAACTGGTAGTATGAAATGAAATCTACAAGAGTTCTTATAGTATTCTAATCCCAATCTGGAGAAGAAATGCAGAGTACAATTTAAAAAGAGAAGCCAGGCACAGGTATATAAAAGCCTGCAACCCCAGTACAGGGAAGGCCAGGGCAGGAGGACAGTGAACTCAA